TTGGAGTTATTGCTCCCCCCCGCGTTGTTTTTAAAAATGTACTGATTGTAAATCGTAATTTTGACTGATGCTTCGAACGTTTGTTAATCATCCAACACTGTATATCCATGCTCTCTCGTCTTCATCTTCATCTTCCACGACTGCTTCACCTTTGACGTCGCGATGCAGACATGTCAGACAGTACGTCAACATTATCGATCCTGTGCCAAAGTCTGAACTTTAGCAGAATACGACTGGAGTCTGGATTAGACATACATCCAGGCTTAATGGAAGCCTTAATTCCACTAAGCCATATTCTGTTTAAATATTTCCTAGGTTTTCAGAATGGCGAAAACGAATGCAACGGCGTCGTTTGAATTTAGACAGGCTATTCGACTGCAAAAATATGAAATTTAAATTTATGTTCGGAATGTGCGGGAATTTGATGAACCCTGAAGCCGCCGAATCTCTGCTCAAATCAGAGATTTACAAGAATTTCCGTTCATGAATGCGAATTCACGCTTACCGTCTATAGATGACAAATGACGATGATGTTGAATATGATGTAATATGAACCATGCTGCTTACTGCGGTATTTAGTAATTCTTCGGTATTAAGGGTCTTCTACGAATCGCGATGGAAACGGCTACAGTAGCTGACAACTTTTCATACCTTCAAGACAAGTCTGTCAAGGAAAGCAAAACTCTGACCATTCACTCCAACAAGATGAATGGCGAAGCGAAAGTTAACAGTCAAAGGAAGAACAGACAATGCTTCCTGTCATCAACTCTCTGCGCAGAAGATATCTTCATTAGAACTACAAGCTCCGTGACTATCTTTTTCCTCCGGGATGGAAATCAGCTCGTTGAGAATGATTCCTTGCAGGGGTTCGTTTGAAATTCCTCTGTTGAATCACTCGAAGCCACAGAAATAACAAATAAAATTACCCTTGTCAAAGCGTAATTACGACTATAACGATTATCTGCTTCTCAGAATGTAAATGAGATAATTAATTCCGTAATTTTACCTCTCTGCGAACAGCTGCTCTTATGCTAACTTTCTGTGTTATCAAAGTTATCAGGCACATGGACTTTGCAATAGGATGCTTTTATGCTTATCGCATAAGTTACGAAAAATTCCTTTACCTCAGCACTGAATGCGATGTTTCAGTGAACCTGCTGGAAGTTATTACTTGAGTCACGGATACGATGCA